GTTAATATGAGAAAGCGCCCTCTACAGCCAGTATATAGGCAACTTTCCTGAAAGTCAAAGATACAGCGTTTCACATGCGAGGGCATGTTGTTTTGGGGTGTAACGTAAACTTGCATGTGCGATATTCTGCTTCTTGGTGTACCAATCGTTGTCACAAAAATAAAATTCCCTTCCATCGACTAACAGAAAACTGACATGTTTGTATTTTCAGCTATGACAAAGCAGGATTATTTTTGCACTCCAGTCTTGCTACTTCCAGGAAAGTGGTCTATATAATTCTATAGAAATAGAGGGTGCTATCTACTATCATTTGACACACGGAATAAAAATAAAACACATTTGTAGAAAGATTAGTTATCACTGGGTTTTATTTTGGCTAGTCTCTCTGATAAGTGAAATCTAGTAAAATACAGTAAAACACCATGTTACACTAGAAAATCTAAGAATTAAAAAACGCAGTTGATATGGTCCAATATCAATATAGTGAAATTGAATGCTTTTACACTACAAGTCCTAAAATTAAAATCATGTTTCAGGGAGAAATAAATCATGTTTGAATTTTTATACTTATATGAAAACTGACATGTTGACAGATTCTAAAAAAAGTCACTGTACTCACATTTTCCATTTTTATCTTGACATCCAGTAACCCACAACTTTGATATCATTAAATATCAATAATCCAGTCAGCAAGGTGATTGGTTGCCGTGACATCCCACCATAGGTTACCATGGTACCACCATGTCTGTGGTTTAAAGAAATAGATAATTTGGAGTGTGTGTGCACTGATTCTATATTTTCAAATACTATAAAGATTTCATAAAGTGATATCAGCTTTACCCATATTATAATGGATTGTTTGTACTTTATAAATACCCACTCTGGATATTTCATCAAAGTTATAGCATACCCATGTTATAATGGTTTGTTCCTACTTCACAAATACCCACTCTGGATATCTCATCAAAGTGATACTTGTAGTAGCTTTACCCATATTATAATGGTTTGTTCCTACTTTATAAATACCCACTCTAGATATTTCATCAAAATGATAGCAGCTTTACCCATATTATAATGGTTTGTTCCTACTTTATAAATACCCACTCTAGATATTACATCAAAGTGATAGCAGCTTTACCCATATTATAATGGTTTGTTCCTACTTTATAAATACCCACTCTGGATATCTCATCAAAGTGATACTTGTAGTAGCTTTACCCATATTATAATGGTTTGTTCCTACTTTATAAATACCCACTCTAGATATTTCATCAAAGTGATAGCAGCTTTACCCATATTATAATGGTTTGTTCCTACTTTATAAATACCCACTCTGGATATTTCATCAAAGTGATAGCAGCTTTACCCATATTATAATGGTTTGTTCCTACTTTTTAAATACTTACTCTGGATATTTCATCAAAGTGATAGCAACTTTACCCATATTATAATGGTTTGTTCCTACTTTTTAAATACTTACTCTAGATATTTCATCAAAGTGATAGCAACTTTACCCATAATATAATGGTTTGTTCCTACTTTTTAAATACTTACTCTAGATATTTCATCAAAGTGATAGCAGCTTTACCCATAATATAATGGATTGTTCCTACTTTTTAAATACTTACTCTAGATATTTCATCAAAGTGATAGCAGCTTTACCCATAATATAATGGTTTGTTCCTACTTTTTAAATACTTATTCTAGATATTTCATCAAAGTGATAGCAACTTTACCCATAATATAATGGTTTGTTCCTACTTTTTAAA